CAGTGCTATCCTACAGAGAAAAAACACTCCGGGATCAAGAAAGCAGCGAACTTAAGTTTCCAGACTTAACTTCTGTATCCAGCTCATTTGCTGTCCTTGTTCAACTTTATTGCTGGATGCTGCCATCAGCAAATAGTGTCAAGTTTTAAAGTGGGCACTCTGTGGCCCCTGAAAACACTTGTTTGAGCTCACATTTAAGAGTGTGGTCAGTACCCCACTGGCCACTCATCATAGAAAAGGCATCTTTCACATGCATCCACAAGAGGATACCTCACATGCAGACATTACCAAGAAATGAGATGGAAGAAAGGCATTAACAGCAATATCTTTTATTTCTTAGGGAAAGCCTCTCCTTATACTTCACAAGTGTCTTGGCAATTGTTTGTCCACCCTCCTCCCTCAGCATTAAGCGTGTCATACAGCAGCCTGGTTTTCCAGTTCTTCTCTGCCTCATCCTGACCCTGTGCAGTCACAACCATCACCTGCTTGGCCACTCACTGAGTCTTCAGAGAAGATGAGCAGGATACTTAGCAGCTTCTCTGCAGCTGCCACAGATGTGGTCTTGGACAAAAAAAAACTAAGGGTCCTCTGCCCTCCACCCCTTAGATTTCACTGTCCACCACCAGCCCAGTGCAGCCGAACTGCTGTCAGTGGTGGTTTCTCATGGATAGCAGAAGGGCAGCAGAGTGCTGCGTTCCCACCCAAGTGAAGAGTTTCAGGGGAAGCACAGCTCTGGCTTACCCCACTCTAAAAATAAGGTTCAGGCACAAGTGTCTCCCAGCTTCTCTCTCCAAGACAATGGTTTCAACTTGACAGCTCCTAATAAACCAAACTTAAAGAAGTAGCCCCTGGAGAGCCCCTGGAAGCTAATTAATGCTCTAATGAAGAGCCTGACTGCCTTGTTTGCTCATCGGCTCACAGGTCAATCAATCTGCCATAGCCCAGCTTGCAAAAAATCAGGGAGGAGCCCAGCACCCTCGTGTATGCCTGGTTATCATCCCCCACCACCCCTCCCCATCCCTCCTCCACATTCATTACTGTCAAAAACCCGTCAGCAAGACAGCAGATTTATAGAGACAATTGCAGCTTCTCCCTGTGCACCTGCTTAAGGATTAGTCCTGAAGGAACTGGCTGAGGGACGACACAAGGATGGAGGAGTATGAAGAGCACAGAATAACTCGGAGGTGGGTGCCCTACAGGTTTGGTTAAAGAGGTCTGTGCCCGAGTACAAAAGGGCTGAGGGGGTTGCACAACTGCCTGCTTGTGTGAAAGTTCTGCTTTTCTTTATCCTGCCATTGCCAGAGACTCCCTACTGCTCAGACCCCAGGCGCTCTCAAAGCTCTGGCAAATCACCCCCTCACTTGTACTGCAGGGGAAAGGTAAAATGTGTATAAGGGCAGTAACAATTCAGTATACCAGCACAAATACGCTCCTTGCCAGAAGAATCCTACCCAGACATCCTAGCCTGCCCAGACTGCAGCAGAGTCCCCATCATGTCTTCTGCCCTTGCCTGAGTCCTGCAGACCACATAGATGCACATCACCCCCAGACAGCGCCTCCTGTCTCAGCCGCTCCATCCTTGGAAGGAAGGACAATCGAAGGAACAGCCAGAACAGAGCCTGCCACAGGTGATCTAGCCTGTCTGGTCCACAGCCCTGACTGACAGACCCTACACCAGCCTGGATTTGTGCCCCAGCCTACAGAAGTTAAAACCCAGCTCTCACCCTACAGCAGTGAGGTCCCTCTCCCTGCAAGGCACACATGAGCTATCTGGGACTGGGTGCCCCTACCTGTGCACAAACCTCCCTCTACTTTGCAACCCAGGCTGCGCGGGCTTACATGACATCAGGGAGCAAGCCATGAAAGGGAGCTTCGGATCCTTCTGCTACTGCTGGTGAACTTTTACTCAACAGCAAGTGATGAACAACGTGCCCTCATGATATTAAAATTCTCCATAAGCTCTCACACATAGAGCCAGCACCTTTTATAGGTCCTCACACTGCCAGTCCTTCTAACAGCTTCATGCCAGGAAGGTCACATTCAAGGGCCAAATCTGACTCCAGATGCCATGCAGGACACTTGTGCCATCCCATCTACAGACCTTGTATTCAGAACTGGGTTAATGCTGCTGTTGTCTGCCTTATTCACTCCTTCCTTCAGGAGCTATGTTTTTCATTTTTCAAATACTGCTCATTTCTTTCTGGGAATAGGACAGGACTGGAGTGTTTCAAGCTTCTGATGTTTCCTCAACATTATCTGTTGGCCATGAGAAAGCCATAGGTGCAGCCACATTAATAAATGCAATTAAAGACCAGCGCTGCCACCTCTGCAGTTACCACTCAGCAAGGATGACATCTACAAATACTACCCACTGCAAGACTGCCAAGGAGAGAGGGTCTGAGCACTGAAACAGCAAACCGATACACCAGGAGAAGCTTCAGCACCCTGTCCCTTGAGGATGTGAGATTTCACAGAGCAAAGAGATTAATGAAGCAATCAGGCAGCCACTATTTTACCTTTCTCACCTGAACACACTTTACAGGCTGACATATATCGATTGCCACATCTGCACCTGGAATCTGTCAAATAGAAAGGTCATTCTGACAAAGAGGGAGCAGGGGTTGAAAAGAAAACTAAAATCCCAACATTCACTTACAACCTGGAAACACACACTGGCTCAATTTACCAAAACACCTCTGTACAAACCTTCTTTACAGTGTGCATTAGTGGACTGGTATCAGAGATAGCTCATCCCAAACTCACTGGCATATGGGACAAGGCAGGAATCCATAGGCAGTGGCAAGGAAAAGAAGAAAGCCAGGACTAAGATACCTGATAGTAAACCGAAGTTATCTCAGATTAAGGTGACTACAGAGACAGAGAATTAGAGTGGCAGCACTTTCAAGTATTCAACAGTTCAGGGGTCTTGACTGACCCTTTTTGTAGAAGCCCTGGATATTAATCTAAAAACCAGCACCTGCTTCATCAGCACAGGTCTCACTGCAGGGTCTCTAGGACATTCATTCAGAGGTGTCCAAGGTGCTTTTCACATTATGCTGGATCTTCACTGGAGGTTATTCAGCCAAAGATCCAGCAAAGAAATGATATGACCCTCTGCAGTCTGCAAAACCAGAGAGAACTACAACAGTTGTTGGTACGAATGCTGGCATTGCACTCGTGGAGAACATCAATGTCAGTTCTCAGAGGCTGCCTGAGATATGGAAACAGAACAGTGGGAGTGCAACCATGCTGCCAGAGACACTCTTAGGTCAACTTATCTTCCATCCCTCCTTGTGAACCATAAAACCACAAACATTAAAGGCTCACTGGACTGACAGCTAAGATTTGTGTAGCAGTAGTTTGTTGAACAGCAGGGAGATAGAGAAAGGTAAAAACCATGGAGACCTAGATAATTTGTTCAGTTAAAGTGTCATTTGATGGTTACTACTCTGGTAGAGACAAACTGGCTGCAAGACCATGGTTTATGTGTCCTTTAAATGTCCCCCTCACCACCATGAGCTGTGACACAGAGGCTCTCTTCTGGAAGCTGTTAACAAGGATTTCTCCTTCTCTCTCTGCCTCAGACACATATGCATGCACAAAGATGTGCAATGAAAAAGCGGATCAGTCCAGGGACCACAGCCAGTCAGTGCTATTTCCTAGGGGAATAAGCTGAAATAATGAACATCACTAACCTGACCTTGCGAGCAATAAAACTTGTATTACAAGGCAGGATAATCAAGATAAATGGAGGACATTAACCTGGAGATGAGATCAAGGAAGGAAAGAGGGGAAAAAAGATGATGGAGAGCTCATGAGGTGCTTGGAGCTCACAGCATCTCCTGACTTTTTGAAAGACGTGCTCAGGATCAGGGAAGGTGAAGAGTTTGAAAAGGGCCACTGAGAGGGAAAACACAAAGCTCAAGCCAGAATACAGACCCTAGGAAGGAGTCCCTCTGCACAGGAACATGAAAGGAGGACTACCGTGCTTCAAGGACCTGAGCCAGGTCTTGAAGGTGTTAAAAGTCTCACTCCAAACATCAACTCCAGCTGTTAGGCCAAGACAGCAGTAAACTGTTCAGCTCAGTGATGGCCCAGAGCTCCCCTGACCACATATCTTTGCAGCTTCCATGGACACTAGAAGGCACGACCATAATATTAGTGACAATGCCTACAGAAGGCACCTAACTGTCTCCACTGCCTGTATAGAGAGCACCTAGCAGGTGTATAAGCACCTAGCAGGTTACCTGACTCTCCCTGCCAAGCCATGTGTCTCTTACCTAGCCATTGTAAACTCTGTGTGGGCAACCACAGACTTGGTGACTGGGAAGAGTTCAGTTTCTGGTGGAGATGAAAGTCAGGCTCTTTGATCACTAGCTGCTTTTGAAGATGCCTCTAGCAAAGTGAGAGATGCAGCAAGTTCCTAGGCAAGAGCTGCAGCACCTCACCTATGGTGCATGCACACACGCAGGCTTTGGTGGGAGCATGCCTCTCTTCTTTCAGCCCATTTGCCCCGTCCCTTGCCCTCTTCCCCAGGTTAGTCAGCTCTGATGAATGGAGGTGACAATCTGAAAGCCACCTCCATTTCACAAGAACAGCTGAAGGACTGAACTGAGCTTCAGTCATAGAATCACAGAATCGTAGAATGGTTTCGGCTGGAAAGGACCTTAAGATCATCTAGTTCCAACCCCACTGGCCATGGGCATGGACACCTCACACTAGACCATGTTGCCCAAGGCTCTGTCCAACCTCGGTGTGAACACTGCTTCCCAGAAGGAAAGCCCATGAACAGTACACAAGGAGTAAAGAGAGGACCCAGCTCCCCAGAGGTGGAAAACGGAGCTCCAAAATATCCACAGCTGAAGAGCTGAGCAGTCCTACCCGAGCCATATACCAGTGTGAGATGTCAATCACAGCCACGAGAGCAGTTCTCACTCCAGAAAGACTACCACAGCACTAGCACATACCCCCAGCCCCTCTCATGCGCTTTTGCCACTCACCTGGCCGTAGGACTCTGATTTCCAGCAGGTTGGAGGTTCTGTCCGCCAGCCGCGTCCAGCTGCTGTTGTAGTTCTTCCTCCAGAGCTCAGCCACACACTGGTACTTGCCGGCTTCTGTGTCGCTCGCCCTGCTGATGCTCAAGCGCACGTTGTTGCTGGACTCGGCCTTCTCAATGGCAGTGCGGGTCCGGAAACCAATGGACCCATCACCCCACTGGACCCCGCCGTCACGCGTGAAGGTGACCAGGTCATGAAACTCGGTGCTGCCTGCAGGCTGGAAACGCCACATCACCGACACTGGTACCCACGACGGGTAGTGGGGCTTGATGATGCACTGGAGGTCGAAAGACTCATTGTAGGTCACACCAGGGGTGCGGGAGATGGCTGTGACAGCAAAGCCAGCCTCTGCAGAAAGAGAGAAGGGCTTTGAGACACCTGCCTAGCTAGGCCCTGCTGTTAGCATGCAAAAGCTATAGTGTGGTCATCCAGTTGTGGGCCTGGAATAATCAGTCACTTGCGTTGTGCTGGCTTCTTATTTGCAATTGCAAAGTGAGCACAAAAAGCAGTGGCAAAACCACACTTAAATGCCTGCTGCATAGTGACAACTGCCTGCATGAGCACTGGCTACAGCGGCAGCAGTATCGTCCCTGATTTCCACCCAGGGGAGTAGATACCCTGAGACCCAGAGGTGAGCACCAGCCTCTGCAGGCTGCCAAGCCCCATACAGAAACACAGCAACGCAGTGGCACCAGGGAGCAGCACCAGGCAGAGCAGCTACCCAGCACCAGTCTGACAGCTGGCAGACCCCACGATTCACACCCACCTTTCAGGCAGGGGATCTCCACCTTGTCGTCCTGTCCCCACCCTGCCCAGGTCTATACTTGGCTGCTGCAGGTAACAGTGAGGAAAGCAAGGAGCAGCCTTCTTTCATGCTCTGGAGTGGTGTCAGTGGTTACAAAACCCAGAGACGAAGGCAACTAAAAGAGAAGCTGATTGCTCCTGTTCTTCACACAGCATAGCTTTTGTCTCTTCCAGATCACAGCTCCAGGACTGCTTTATGCAGTTATCCTCACGTCTACCACTCTGCAAGCTGATCAATACATTTTGACTTGTCTACCCTCAGCAGTTTGTTTGTTTAAGGGAGTTTAAAACTAGCAGTCTGTTAGTAACTTGAAGATAACATATTCCCAGTTGAGTGGCTTACATTTTGGGTCAGAGTGCTTCCATTGCTTATTTGTTCCTAGCTGCAGAGAGCAGTATTTTCTTCTCTTCCTATAACTTCAGTCTGGTCAGCAGATTTAGAAGGGACCTTGTTTTCTACCAGCAGTATCTCCAAGAAGTGCTCCCTTTCTGGAAGGCTCTGTGGGGCACACTGGCTGGCAGCTCTTCTTCCTTCCCCTGACCGTCCCAGCCACTGGTACTGGGGGAGACCCCAGTCAGTGTGCAGCAGAAACAGGAAGATGTGGATAAGCATGGAGCTTCAGCCTGCCACTGGCTTGACATTGCAGCTTGAGAGGTGAGCTAGGAACTCACTGCAACCCTCAGAATTGCAGCCATGGGCTGCACTGGCCACAGCATGAACACCACTGTATCTGCACGCTTCTTGCAAGTGCTTCTGCAGTCCTATGGCACCACCGTGACAGAGCTCCAGGATGTGCGACTACTGAGAAAACAGGTCAGTCTTTGGGATTAAAGCAACATGTTCAGTGATTACCCAGGGGAGGAAAGCAAGACCTCAGGCTGTGTCCTCTCAGGACTGCTGAATCTCATCCCCATGTAACCCTTACCTTCACACCCTGCAGCAGCCCTCCAGCCCTGGCAAGCATGTTACTGGGCCTACCTCAGAGTGCCAACACACTGGCGATGACCCTAGAAAGCCAACTTCATTTCACCAAGACCAGCTGATATTGTAATGTTTAATCTCCAGTTGGCCTGGGCAAGGAAGCTTGATGAAGGGAGTTGACTGCCGTGTGAAAGCCAGGTATATTTTCCAGGTCTTCAACTCAACCAACATGCTCATGGCACTTAGGGCTAACACAAAGGTCCTTCTTCCTTTGGACTTGGTAAAAAAGGAGAGAAGCCATGCACAGAAGCGGGCAGATTTTCTGCAAGACCTCACTGCAAAAACACAGCAGCTTGCCCCTGCTTCTCCCCACCTGCCTACACCTTCCCATGCCAGCCAGGGACTGAAGTCCCTACTGGGCACTCCAGATCCTTAGTTCAGGGACATCTGGTCTCTTCCAACACCACATCCCTTTTCTGGCTACCAAGACACCCTGTAGATAGATTTATGGGTCTTAACATTTATGGGGGGAACATCATCTGTGCTGGTTCAGCTAAAGAGTTTCTTATCCTTGCAGACTGGCAAACGATTAGACCTTAACTTGAAATGTGAGTGTCACTAAATTTACTACATTTTTTTTTACTAGCAATTTCTATAGCCATAAACCTTTCTTGCTACTTCTTAGCACCTTCCATTCGAGTTTTTCAGGATACTTCAAAAACATTACGATGAGCAAAAAATACCAGATTCAGCAGTAACAAAACAATATTCAGTATTTTCTCCACTAAATTTTCATGATCTACTTCAGCTTTGCTAGTTACAAGAAGAGGACCTAGGAATTTCTTAGGACTTGACTTTATGTGCCCAACAGCCAGCAATTTCTCTGTGAGAAGGAGCAAAGGAGGACAGGCAACTACCTTTCCAACACATGTTCTGGAACTGCAGGGCAATTCCGAGTATCTTATATTTTAACAAGAGTAAAAGTGACACATTTTAAAACCACAACACTTAATTTCATCACTTCTGCAAATGGCAGAATAAAGAAAAGGGCTGATATGTTGACTTACAGCAGGCCAAATGCTGCTGACCTCATGAGGAAGATGCCATTAAAACAAGATGGGAATCTGCCTTTAGTTCTATATGAACTAACATCCCTACCTGCTTTTGGGAATTATATAGCAAAGATTTCTAGCTGCAGACAGAACAGCCTCTGCAAGAAGGTCAAAAGTCAAGGGCAGGAAAGGAGGAAAAAGCAAGATTTTGATCAGAGTAAGATACAACTTTGAAGTCTGGTCTTTCACACATCTTGCCAAAGCTTAAGATTAATACTATAGAGAACAGCAAAAAAACCCAACAACCCAAAATTCCTATCTCGACCTTTCAATAGAGCTCCCTGATTGTTTATAGCCCTGCTATTCTGCAAATCCGCGGCCTCATACAAGTCATCCCTTCTTCAGCCTCCTGCAGAGCACTTTGGGGACCAGTCCTGAACTTAACATAGCAAGGCCTGAGCAGGACCAAAGTAATTCACAATCCATCCAAAATCCCTAATGCCCTATCTGCCCTCTCCTAAACCAATGTGGTCACACTGTGTTTGAAATGGAGGAGCCCTTTTGCAGAGCAGAGTACTAGCTGCAATGATTCCAGGTCCTAGTTCAGCTTGGTCATGGACAACGTTATGGTTCCAGGCCAGCAGCTCAGGGCCTCCTTACAGAGGAAGTGAGGACAATTCCTGGCCCATGCCTTCATCAGACTTCTGATGCTGTCAGAGATGTTCATCATTTCTGGTGTCTGGACAGTTGCTGCAGCTTTCTGCTCTCCTGGTCTGGTTAGTAGAGATAAGGTTTACCCAGGGCATGTAGGAGGCTTTGATGCCCACAGGCTGCCGACGTAGCACCACCACTGCACTGCCCACAGCTTGGCTTCAGTATTGTGGGGATAGCAGCCTCTCTCCTTGGAAGGACACTGGAAGCACTGCCCCTGTCCTTAGCCATCCCTGGCTTTGCTCCTGCCACAGCCACCCCTTAGACTTTGTCCCCAGATGCAACAGAGCATGCAGGCATTTTGCACCAACCTACTGGGAGCTGCTGGGTACCTCCATTGTGCTGGCAAGCAAAGGGCACAGTGCTGAGAGCAGCCCCAGTTGTTCACAGGTGACCTCCTGGGGGGTACTGGGCACACAGGGAGCAAGGCCCCATGGTCCCCCACGCCTCAAGTACTCACCCAGAGCAGTGATGGACACCGGGGTGCCTGTGTGCCGCTCCCCAACCATCTGCCACTCCCCATCCAGTGTCCGTGTCCACTCCGCCACCCGGCACTCATAGTGGCCCTCGTCTGCCTTGACGCTGTTGAAGATCTCCAGGGTGAAGGAGCCAGGCCGGACCTGCTCCACTTGGATGCCCCCATAGCTGCTGCGCTCGGTGTACAAGGGGCCTGGCTGCAGCGTGCCCTCCCGATCCAGACGCACAATTTCACTGCGCCGGTTCAGCTTGTCCACCAGGTGCCAGGCAACAGACAGGCGGCTTTGGGGCCCAAAGCCCGAGCGCACATTGCAGCCAAAGCGCAGGCTCTCCCCCTCCAAGACATTGCTGGCGTTGTTGATAATCTCCAAGGAGATGCTGGTCTCTAAGGGGAGAAATGCATATACACAGGGGAGATGATACACACTCGCCACTTCTTGGTCTGCAAGAAGGACGCTGCTAGCCAGAGAGGCTTTCTACCAGGTGCAGGAAACTGCCCATGGATTTGGGTCCAGGCATGCCTTAACCTCATGCGTGACCACATCCAAAACCAGCTTGTGGGCAGCGAGCTGCTCCTGGTGACTGGCATACTCAAAGCAGGTGTAGGTCAAAATCGGGAGAAATCTCTCTGCCTATGGTTCATGAGACATTGATGCGTCTTCTGGTCGCAGATTCAGGATGGAATCTCAGCAGAACTTGGAATGTGTGTTGCTACAACATGTAGCGCATGGAAATGGCTCTGCCAAAAAAAGCTTCCAGCTCCCTGGGCTTTTCAGTTCACATCACCATGATCACCATCTTGCCATGTCCATTCCTACAACCCTTTCTGGGAGAAGCTCTCCCTAACTCCCATCGCTAGTGACACTAGAGGTAGCTATCAATGTCTGGTAACATCAAAAAACCCTCATATCCTGAGCTTCCCAAAATGTAAGGCTTTATGTCTGTTTTTTCAGAGACACTGAGTGTTGGTTACTCCTGCTGTCTCCGGTCAGAGCTATGGACACGTAGCACCCATGAAAAATCATCACATTTGTTCCTAGAGCTGGTGATTAATCAAATGGCAAGAATGAAATCTGTCTGAAAAGTGGCTGTGCCTAGAACTATTAAATTTTAGACATCTGTCCAGTGTAAGATTTCCAGCTACAGTAATTTTCAAAGCCAAACAAATGAGACCAAATACTGGTAGGAGAGAAAAGAAATAGAATTTCTTTCAGAAAAATAAGGAGGGGAAAAAAAGCTAGAGGAAAGGTTTGCATTTCCCTTGAAACCTAAGAGATAGCAGATAAACACTGCACAAAATCCTCTTGCAGTTACCCTCTGCTTGGTCAAACCCCACTGCAAGGGCAGCCTCAGCAACATGTGCATGGTTCATTGTGCCACAGCTACCCGAGTTTCAGAGAGCAAAACAAGGAATCAATCAGTGGACCCTCTCCTCTTACCCTGTTATTTTTGTATTCATCCTGTTGGTCTGACAAATACAAAAGACATTCAGGCAAGCCTCTGGTAGGGCTGTTTTCACGAGGGTTGGCAGACACACAGTGACCTCAACAGAGCTCCATGCTGAAGAGCAGACCAGGGCTGAAGATCACATGAACCCTGGTTTCTCCCAGTACAGTTGCCTTGCAAGACAGTTGAAGAACAGCCACTGCACAGCCTGCAGGAACCTAGCAGCTCTTAGGATAAACCAAAGCCAAGCTGGTCTCCCCATAATGCCTGCAGAGTATTTCAGAGCACCCAGCTCTGCAGAGCAAGCAAAGGAGAGAGTGTGAGGAGCAAGTCAGAGGCTGTCGCACATTCTTTCAACTCAAGGAAGTCATTACCAAGGTGGGGGCATGCTTCACCACCTACAAACCCAACACATATCCCTCCTTCTCTATCATGCCCTTACCATCAAAAAATGAAGTATCTTGCCAGTTGGGATTCCAAGCCTCAATAGCATGCAAACTCTTATCCTCCCTCTTCCCCACCGCCGAAGTTTCGGCACATCACAACTTCACCACATAGCTGCTCAGTAGAGCAATGGCCCCAGGAGGGCATGGGAAAGTCTCTACTTACTGAGCGGCAGGACAGTGATGGGGATGTTCTTTGGCCGCTTGCTCTCCTTGTCAATGAAATCCCCCGTGACAGTCTTCTCCCGCTCGGTGACCCGGCAGTTGTACTTGCCACTGTCCTCAAGGCGGAGGCGGTAGATCTTCAGCACAAAAACACTGTCACTTTCTTTGGCTACCTTGAGCTGGCCCAGGGCCTCGCGCTGGGCAAACTCATTGTTGAGCACCGGCACAGCGTTGGGTCCCAGGCTGGCAATGAGGGAGCTGTTGAAAGCCCAGGAGATGGAGAAGTAGCGGTCAGGGACATTCTGAGCCTCCAGGATGCACCGAAACTCCACCGGCTCACCCACAATGTATGTCCGCTTCTCTGTTTCCAGCCGGACACTGAACTCCTTATCTGGGAGAGACAAACCAACATCGAAAGCATGGAAAAGACCATCAAGCCCAAAAGTCAGCATGGAAAGCCCATCAAGACAGCCAGCACACCTCTGCAAAGTATTTACAACTTGCTCCTCCCTGCTTGGTCAACATCCCTTCGACATGCACATCTGCACGTGAACGGGTTAGGGGCTTGCTTTCGTTGTGGGATCCCAGGCTGGCCATGCTGTAGGAAAGGCAGCTTGCTGCCATAAGCTGCAAGGCTTCCCTAATCATAACCCTTTCCTCCAGACTTTATTCCTGGGAGCAGCTCTGCTGCAACATCAGAATCCAGTGGTGCTGTAGGATGTGACCTGGAGCCTAGTCCTGTTCAGACCCTGCTTGGCCCAGGGTCAAGAGTCAAGGCCTTTGGGGATATCAGAGAGGAAGAAAGAGCTCAGCTGGGTCTTTAGATCCTTAGAAGGAACCTGTGCTGTGGCCTGGGAGAAGGATTTTGACTTGCAAAAAGACCTTGTGCAATACAGAAACACTTGCTCGAAGATTTAGTTTTATTTTCTGCTGCATCATTCTTTCCTCCCCACTTACCAAAACTCTCACTGCCTGTGCTAGAACCAAGTGCTTAAGATCTGTTTTAGCTCCTGTGTCAGCCCCAGCTCAGTGACCACATCAGGAGACAAAGCCTGCCACCCAATTCCCAGCCACCTAACAAGGCACAGCCCCATTTTCCAACTCCTCCCACCACCCAGTTGAGCGAGAACAGGCAGAGAAGACACTGACCGGTGGCTTGCACAGTGACGATGGCACCCTGGGAACGCTTGCGGGTCATGGCATACCAAGCCTTGTCAGGGTCCTGGATCCACTCTGCTGCCTCGCAGTAAAACTCGCCCTGATCCGAAGGATGGAGGTTGTAGATAGTGAGCTTTGAGGTGGTCTCCCCAACTTTGTCCAAGCGAATGTCCCCTGTAGCATGCCGCTGGGCATAGGCACTGCCAGCCCGCAGGACAAAGTCACGGCTGAGGGAGATGACCTCAACAGGCACCTCGCTGCCCCGCTGCCGGTACCAGGCAATGGAGACATGGCTGTGCTGGGCTGTGCTCTTAGACACCTCACACTTCAGCTCCAGGGAGTCGTGCTCCACTTTGTTCAGCGTCTGTGGGACCGCTGTGACTCGCAGTGAGTCGGGAATCACTGCAGCAAAGGGGGATAGGGAAACAGCACGGGAGTTAGTGATACTAAAATGCTGAGTCTAAAGCCCAGAGAGCTGGGAGAGAGGTTTCTTTTTACAGTTGTAATTAATTGTTAAGCATTGGCAAAGGCCTGTTAGCTCACATCTAGCCCTCCAAAAGAGGAGAATCATTCCCCAAACCTTTGGATGGGAAAGACCATGACCTGCAGCACATACTCCAGTGCTGTGCTTAAATTCCTCATCAGTGGCCCCAGTAACTGCACAGGGTTTTCCATCACGCTGCAGAGCAGCACAGCTTAATACTTTCCATCAAGGCATTTCATAATGGGCAACTTCCCCTTCATTGTGTGCCCCCAGCATACTTCATGACCCCTCTCCCGCCCACATCCTTCAGCCAGTCCTTAGCCCTGGCATGGTCTTCACACCTCAGTCACTAGTGGGTACAAGCTAAACATAGTTCCTTTAATCTTCCTTCATAAAAGAGTCAGGAGATTCAATTCCCCTCTCCTTTGTTTATATCATTTCATGTTTTAACGATCCCCTCAGGCCAAACAAAGGGGTTTGAACATTTGGAAGGAAGTGTCTCCTCTGAGGGCAGTAATGCACTAATTGCAGCCTGCCCAGTGCCTGCTCAGGACAGACATGTCAAGGCAATAAAACTGCTGGCTACTTTTCCAATTGATTAACCAGAGGGAAGGAAGTACAGCCGCTAAAATCAGGATAAAAAAGAACACTGCAGCCCCACAACCTTGCATGATTTTACCAAGCACCTTAATTTTAGCATGAGGTTCTACCAGCAGAAGATAGACTTTCTTAAAAAGAAGCCTTTCTGACTTTGTTGTCTCAAGAAACATCACATGGAAGGAAGAATGCAAACCTTCTCCCCAGTTCTGCAGACAAGGCAGTGTTAGAAAGCCTTTTAATGCCCACAGTTTCGCTGCATACCAGTGAAATATAATCAACCTATCTCAGTTCAGTTTCATTGACAGCACTGGAAGGTTTGATGAAATTAGGTAAGCTGCTGAAAGCTGCATCTATTTCATTCAAGCACAGCTACAGAAAGCAATGAGCTGCAGTGAAGACAACTGCTATGATTGTTTATGGCAGAAAAATCATAACCAGAAGAGAAGAAAGAAAAAAACCATGAGATGATATAAATGAGAGGGAAATCTTCCCAAGACCAGCCCGGATGGGAGCATTTTCTTTTACCACGTGTTCAGTACCCAGGGAATTTACTGCCCGTGACAGGGGAAGTACCTTGTAAGGTCACTGACATTGCAGGCCACTGCTTGTGCCCTGTAACTATTTCTCATCCTCTATCTTTTCCTCTCATCTTCCTTGCTGGAGCTCCTGTCCTCTGCTCACCAGCAATAACCTGTGGCAGACCATGAAAAGGATTCTGCCTCTCAATGCCCCTTCCCCTTCCCTCTGATTCCCAAACCAGTGGTGACAGCAGCATCTAACCTTGCTGGTTTATACCGCCTGCACGATAACATTTGAATTTCTCATTTCAGACCTTCCTGAATAATTTCCAGAGCCACGCAGATTTTTCTTTGCCCTCCAGCCACAGGCTCTTGTAACTTTTCTTACTTTATTTAAATAAATTAACCCTGATCATCACGTTGCTGGAGTTACTTTCCTGCTGAGCTGCTTCAAAGGCAGAGCTCCCTGCTACACCAGCCTCTGCACAACAGCTTATGAGGTGAAAGTGGGTATCAGTGAAGAAAGCATGCTTACTCTCCTTCCCCCAGTTTGAGAGCTCTGCACACTCCACTGGTTGGCTGTGTGCTCCCACAGCTCAGTAGCATGGCTGCTCTCTGTCTAAGCATAAGGCAGAGAGTGAATTGCTGCTTACCTCCAAGAGCCTGCCTGGCTCTGCGGGACAAACAAGGTCATGCTTGAGAAAGAGGCAGACACTTGGCTTGCCAGATGTGGAGCTGCCCTCTCCCTAGGAGGAACACCAGGAAGCTTGTCCAAAGGCTGGGCCTCAATCAAACACTTGCCTTGCCATTCCCCAAGGAGGTTGGAGGCTGGCACGGACACCATTTCAACAGCTAGAAGCATTACTTTGTGTTTCCAGGTCAGAATCTGGCTGGAGGGTTAGCGTCTTTTACACCACATGGGCAAGCTACTGCAAAATGCATTCCTGGAGGAAAATCAGTAGGTGGTGGTGTGCTGTTAAAGGCTCTAACTTAACTGTGGTAACACCTGACACGCTGTGCTACATTCCTCCTGCTCTGTTGGTTAAAAAAGCCAACCAGGATCCTCCCAGTTAGAAGAATCAGCAAGACCTTTTAGGTTGCATGCAGCCTTGAGGCTGTTGTCTTACATCAGCATTACACAGACATACACCTGGTTGTTCTCACCTTCTCAACCAGGAGGACTAGAGACCCACTCGCTAAATGAGGGCCCAGTTTCCAAAGGATTAGACATCAAGGACAGGCAAGAGCCCAGAGCTGGCCAGGCCAGTGGTAAGGCTCTGTACTTTGCACCACTGTTCTCATGCTTGGCCAACAATGCACAAACAACTGTTTCAGTTACACTGCAAGATGCACATTGGGTACCAGATTTGGGAGGGGGGAAGTGGGTAGGAGAAAGGGGAAAATACTGTTCTCAAGAGGCAGCCAAACATGGTAACAGGTCACAGCTCATTACAGAAACCCAATGAGCACATCCTTCTGAGTGCTGTGGAGTGCTGGGGACTGTTGCAGCAAGGCTGCAGGTCTGCTGGGGCTTACACACCGCCACAGGGCACAGACCAGGCTGGCCTGTGCCAACAGGAGGGCTACAGGCATGGCTTAGCCCATCAGGCTAGATCAGGACTGGAAGACACACAGAGAAATGCAAGCAGAAAATGCTGTGAAGGTGTTTGCCAATCCCCTTGTGCTCGACACCGCTCATGGGGAGGTGGATTATCAGAGGTGGATTATCCTCCCAAGCCAGTTGCCCTACTGGGGCTTCAAAGACATCAGTTTGTGTATCGGGACATGAGTAACTCTTTACATAGTGTCCACCCAGGAGCCTTGGCTCCGCTGTCAGACATCACACTGCCAAGCTGTCCCCAAGCATCCTGCAGCCGCCTGCAGCAGGATGCACCAGGATTTCTTGGGCACTCTGCAAGCAGAGCTCTACTTGAAAGCAAGGGTAAGCTTACATGACAGTCGTCACTGTAAGAAGGGTAGCAAGGCCATACCTGAATCAGAGCCAAGAGGGGTGCTGCAGGACATGTCCTCTTGTCTGCTCTTTCTTACCCAGCTGCTGGGTTTTTCCCCTCTTTTCAACATTTCCTACTAGGTCCCAAAGCCCCAGGTTCCTGCAGAAGGCACTGGGACAGGTCCTCACTGGTGAGTAGGCTGCTAAGCAGAGGGTGCTCCCAACCCCACCACGTTTTGAAATCTCCTGAAATATTGACTGTAAATATTGCCACTAGAGGGTGTCAGGGACCCAGCTAGGGAGAGTCCCGGGTACCTGCTGTTGGGAAAAGGACAAGGAAGGAGCCTGGAGATGCTCCCTCCCTTACCAGGGTGATGCCCACGGGCATTCCTTCTCAGGAAGCCTGCACAGCCAGCTCCGGTCAAACCCACCTCAGTAACATGCAATCAATGAGCACCTGGTGAATTAAGTAGGGCTAACTCTAGGACAAGGAACTGCCTTACAGTCTCCCAGAAAAAAAGCAGGGAGCAGACTGGAGTTCCCAGGTCTCGACTCGGTGCATGCCTCAACATTCTTCTGAGCCCCAGGATCACCTCTGTTTCCAGCAGCTCCCAGTGCCATGCTGAATTATGCCCATGTAGACAAAGAGGTCTCCCTTCTCTGCAGGCTGGTTCTAGTTAATCCTTGGGTATCCAAAACCCCCAATAACCTCCAAGAGGAAAGCTTTTATGTGCCGGATACAAACCAGAGAGCTATCAATACTTCATCTACTCCCAAGCAAGGCAGCATGAGGTGCCGTTTCCTTGTTAAGTGATGCAGAAGGAGCATCTGGCTGGCAGCCAGAGGCTCCCTAGCTTGAGCTGGTAAAACAACACTGTGAAAAATCACTTAACAACAGAGTACCCTTACACTTGGAGGCTCTTCAGGAGTAAAACAACGGACACAGGCTACCCAGCATCATTTCTGGGCTGCTGCCTCTTCTTCCCTTGGATTTTGTTATAGCTTTTACCCACTGATACACTTTAGAGGCACCCTATGGTGTTACCCTGTCTCCCCAACTGCCCACTTCATACTGCCTGCAGAGAGCTAAGCTTGCCAAGTGTCAAGTGTGAACTATTTAGGAAGAACAAATAAGTGTAGCATGCAAATCCTGGGGAGCTGCTTCTGGCTGAGAAATACCACTCTGGATTTTGCAGGGAATTAGTGCAAGAGTTATGTTTCCATCTGCCCTGTGACATCTTGCTGCCCCACAGGGATCCCAGTTCAGCACCATGAATCTCCTCCCCCAACCCCTCTGGTCGTGCATGCAAGACAGAAACAAGCTGCTCAAGAGTGTTTAACCGCAGTGTCAGTGCCACCAGTCCAGAGGTGAGCACTGGCAAACACTGAAAAACACCATGGGAGGCAAAGCAGGTTGGAGCACAAGGACGGAAGGGACCTGGACCCTCCCACCCACTGCAAGCTCTCAGGGAGCCATGCTCCTTATATCCCTCCCACACACCACTACTGACTTCTATTCCTTACAGGATCCAAATACGCGTGCATGCATGTGACAGGAGGAAGGTGGTGGCGATAAGTCAGGGAAGATACCTAGATTAGCAATGTAATCCTCCCAAACCCTCGTGCCTGGCAATTAGCTGTACATGATGATGCATACCTGCTGCAGCACATCAGACACTGTGACTTCTTGACAACCAAAAGTCTGCATAATGACTTTGGTGAGGAGGAAAACACATAATGTGCTATGCTGCAAAACTGATAAAGACCCTCAAATGTCACCTTTGCAGGGGGACAAAACTGAGCAGACCATGCCGCTGGTAGCATCCTTTGCTTGCCTTATTTTTAAGTC